TTATTTCTTTTTGTTTGTTTGTTTGTTTTTTTGAGACAGAGTCTCACTTTGTTGCCCAGGCTAGAGTGAGTGCTGTGGCGTCAGCCTAGCTCACAGCAACCTCAAACTCCTGGGCTCAAGAGATCCTGCTGCCTCAGCCTCCCAAGTAGCTGGGACTACAGGCATGTGCCACCATGCCCGGCTAATTTTTTCTATATATATTAGTTGGCCAATTCATTTCTTTCTATTTATAGTAGAGACAGGGTCTCGCTCTTGCTCAGGCTGGTTTCGAACTCCTGAGCTCAAGCAATCTGCCCACCTTGGCCTCCCAGAGTGCTAGGATTACAGGTGTGAGCCACCCCACCCGGCCTGTGAGTGTTCTTTCCACGATGAGACCCTTGGTTGGAGAGGATGACCTTGGTGGACCAAGAAGGACGTCCTTTGGTCAAGGGCATTAGTGGTGGAACCATGATTGTGGTGCAGGACTGCCCAGCTCCCATGCCTATGCTCTTTCCTAGATTATTGTTCTCAATGTTTCTGTTCTTCTGTATAACAGAATTACATACTGTTATGATTCGAGTGTGGTTCATTTGGCCCCACCGAGTCTGGTGTTGGAATTTGATTTCCAGTGTTGAAGGTAGGGCCTCGTGGGAGGTGTTTGGGTTGTGGGGGTGGATCTCTCATGAATGGCTTGGTGGCATTCTTGTGAAAGTGAGTTCTCGCTCTGAATTCCTGAGAGAACTGGTTGTTAGAACACAGCCTGGCACCTACTCCCCTCTCTTTCTTGCTTCACCTTTTACAATGTGATTTCTGCACACGCTGGCTCCCCTCCTCCTTCTGCCATGAGTGGAAGCAGCCCAAGGCCCTCACCAGATGCAGATGCCACTGCTGTGCTTCTTGTAAAGTCTGCAGAACCATGAATCAAATAAACCTTCATAAATTACCCAGCCTCTGGTATTCCTTAATAGCAACACAAAAGGACTAAGACACATATCCATGTCCTTTGCAGTGAAACTCGGTAGCGTCTCCCAATGGAGCAGGCAGAGTGAACATCCCTGCCCTGTTGACTTGGGGCTTGGCCACAGACTTGTTCTGACCATGAGCAGGTATAACCCAAGCAAAGTCTTTGACAAGGTCAAACCACTTGATTTGGCCTCTTGCACTTTCTACAATCTTCCAGGAGAGGAACATATCCCAGATAGCTACTAGTCCAAGAATGAGGAGACATAGGGAGCAGTACCTGAAACTAAACCTCAACCAGGAGTCAAGCTTAGCTGATCTCAGGGAAGTCCATCAGGGTCATGGCTGCACTGCAGAAGCATGGATGAGAAATACATACTTATTTTTTTTTTTTTTTTTTTTTTTGAGACAGAGTCTCACTTTCTTGCCCAGGCTAGAGTGAGTGCCATGGCGTCAGCCTGGCTCACAGCAACCTCAATCTCCTGGGCTCAGCGATCCTACCGCCTCAGCCTCCCTAGTAGCTGGGACTACAGGCATGCGCCACCATGCCCGGCTAATTTTTTTTGTATATATATTTTTAGTTAGTCAATTAATTTCTTTCTATATTTTGGTAGAGACGGGGGTCTTGCTCAGGCTGGTTTTGAACTCCTGACCTCGAGCAATCCGCCCGCCTTGGCCTCCCAGAGTGCTAGGATTACAGGCGTGAGCCACCGTGCCCGGCCTATACTTATTTTTATAAGGCACTGAGTTTGAGGCATTACTTATTATAGCCTGGTCACCATACTTGTTTTTTGCTATTATAAAGCTCTGTAACAAACAGTATTTTGAAAGAGACCACATTCACATAACTTTTATTAGAGCATATTGTCATAACTGTTCTAATTTATTATTATTAATCTCTTACTGTATTTAATTTATAAATTAAACTTTATCATATATATGACATAAAGCATAATGCTATTTATACTATCTTCTCCTATGTGTGTGTATACACACACACACACACACACACACATAGGAGGAAATAGTATAAATAGCATTCAGTACTATCTGTGGTTTCAGGCATCTACTGGATGTCTTGGAATGTATCCTCCAAGGATAAGGAGGAATTACTGTATTCTCAAGAGAACACACCAGGTAATGGTGTTCCATCTGTACTTGAAGAAAGACCTTCACATGGCCTTAGGTGGAAGGCAGCAGTCTGTTGGCAGCCACACAGAGGTGGTTAGTTGCGTCTTGTTTCGTAGGGCTGCTGCAACAATACACACACTGGCTGACCTAAAACCACCAAAACTTCTTCTCCCAGAATTCTGGACATATTGGCAGGGTTGGTTCCTTTGGAGGCTCTGAGGGAGAATCCATTCCATGTCTCTCTCTGAGCTTCTGGCAGTTGCTGCAATTCCTGGCATTCCTTGGCTTGGAGGTGCATCACTCCAACCTCTGCCCCTGTCTTCATGTGCCCTTCTCTGTGTCTGTCTCAAATATCCCTCTTCTCTCCAGTCATTGGATTAGGGCCCACCCTAAATCTAGGATGTTCTTATCTGGAGATCCTTATCTTAATTACAAAGACCTATTTCCAAATAAGGTCATATTCACAGGTATAGGGGGGTAGGACTTGGGTATGCTTTTTGGGGACAATTCAACCTATTACAGTGATGTATTTTGGGGCCCCAAATACAAATCAAACCCTTGGCTATTCAACATAATCCCTCCTAAGTGCAGAGTTCTGTTCTATCCCTTCCGTGGACTTTATGGGGCTATCTTTACAGCTACATTAAAAAAGAAAATATTTATAGTCTAGACTTAATGTTCATTCATTACTTAGCAAGGATACTATTGACAATCATAAAACTTAAGAAAAAACTAGACCAATTTCTAGTCTTCCAAGGGTTGTGTCCAGGGCAGGGGGTGTGGCCAGGGAGACATTCTCTGCTTGCAGCCGGTAGAGAGGGCCTCCCAGGGCATTGCTGTTGTGCTGTGGTTTCTAGCTCTTTGAGACCAGGATGAGTCTTAGCTATCTTTAAACCCTAGGGTCCAGCAGAGGACTTCCCTTATTTTTTGGTTTGTTCTTAGTTACTCCAGGTCCTTTTGAAAGACAGGTTGGTTGTGCTCATAAAATTAAGGGAAGGCACACTCCGACCTTCTCTTCCATGGGAGCTGCAGAGGGCACAGGCCTTGTTGCCCTGACACAGAACCCAGAGGTGCAACTCTGAGATAGCTTGCCTTCGCTTGGCTCATCCTCAACTCCAAATAATTTTATTGTAAGCACCCTTAATCACATGGGTCCTTAAGTCCACCCCCTCACTTCTCAGCTGGATTCCAGTCAAGCAGCCAGTCCTGGGAACTTCTCTTCCCCTCCTCTTTCAGTAGACACTTTCTGTTCAGCACCATTTTATTGATGGTGACACTGAGATTTACAGGTGACATAACTTTCCTTACATCTATTTAACTGGGGCAGTGACTGATCCCATGGCTCTCGACTTGCAATCCAGAGGCCTTTCCTTGTTTCCTTGAGATGTCTGGTTCCTGATCAATAGCTCTGGTTCCCAGACTTCTGGATCTTGGAATTAATAGGTGTGGGAAGGACATCCTTGGACAAGACACACTTACTTGCATGGCTGACCCAAGTTATTAGAGCACTGCCAAAGTGAGGAGCAGCACTGTGTTGGGAGTGTGGAGGGTGCGTGCAATGCCACGATCTCCAGGCCGCAAGCAAGCTGCCCTCTGGCAGGCTCTGTGCCCAGCGTTGACCCATGCTGTCAGCCTTGCGTGGCGCAGTCTACCCATTTTCCAGATGGTGCTGTGGCTTCAAGAAAATAAGTGACCCAGCACCCAAGAAACTGAAGTGGGACTCGCAAGTCAGCCTGTCGTCAAAGCCAGATTGGAGATGAGAAGTACCACAGAGGCGCTGCGTGCTGCTCACAAGGAAGGTAGAGGCTGGTGAGCCCCCACTGCCGATCTCGTTTGTTCCCACGCGACACCCTGTGAGCCACCCCTGGGCGGTACACAGGCTACTGTGGGAGCTGTGGGTGCCAGCAGGGCCCTGGGGCCACTGACTCAGAACCACACAAACATCACTTTCTGAGAAACCAGTACAACCACTTTCCAGGGAGGAGGGAGGGCATCTCCCAAACTTGGTTGAGCCCTGGAGTCACCCAAGAGTTGGTTAAAAACATACAGCTCCCCCGTGCCCTACTCCAGCTTTGCAGATGGGACCTGCTTCTCCAAGCCACTCTTCAGAAGTGAGGTGCACAGCCAAGTGAGGGTTTTCGCACCAGCCTCTTGTGCTAGCCCAGTGGGACAATGTCACTCACCATCTGACAGACCCTGGAGGTGCAGAGCTGAGTGGCACCCAGTGGGCACAGGGGGAACGTGGCGGAAGGGGACAGGCAGGGCCTTCTAGGCCAGTGAGCCCTGGTCTGGACCCATGTATGTCACCTCTGAGCCTCAATTTCCTCATTTGAACAATGGGCACAATAACCCCTATCACTTGATAATGAGGTGTCAGCCCCCACCTCAAAGGACTGTGGGATTATGGATGCGAGGACGGAAGGGGAATATCTGGCAAGGAAGGCCCTGACAGCTATCTCTTTCTCTTCCTTCTTCCCTTGCAACAACCTATGGCCTCCAGAGTCAAGCTCCAGCCCTTCTTCTCTGCGGCCTCCCTGGTCCCGCTCCCCCTTCTCCCTGTTCAAGGCTCCTCTTGCCCACCCAGCCACCCGTGGCTTCCAATGGGACTCCAGTCAGATACACACTCTGTTCCTGACGGGCCAGCAGTGTCCCCAACAGAAGTACCTGCACACCCCAGGGAGAAGTCAGTCTCCCTGATCTTCCCCAGTTTGACAGAAATTGCGAGGGAAGGAGGAGAGAAAGGCTGGTTCTATAATCCTTTTCCTCCCCACAAAGGGTGAGCACACCCTGGGCTGGGGACAGGGTGGCACTGCCCACCTCACACTCCAGCAGGCTGTGGCGGGAGCTAAGCCAAAGCACTTCCAGAGGAAAGCTAGAAAAAGGAAACAAGGACAGAGGAAATTATTTCAAGAACCCAGATTGCCAAAGACTTAAAGTAACAAATATACTTTTAATTGATCTCAGATAAAAATTACTTGGGAAAGGTCAGTAATCGTTTTAGCCCCTAATCTGTTAGAGTCGTATCCTGAACAGCCTTGAGGAACTAGGTTACCTGGCTATTTTCACTATTTCACCTCATCCACAGGATTAGAAAAAACAAGGCATCGTATCAGTTTAGGTTAAATGCATGGTTGGCAGCCAAATCCAGTCTCTTATATTCCATATTTTTTCTTTAGCTCTTCTACTTTGTTGATGTAAGCTTTCATGGCATCTTCCCTGGTAGTTCCTGCAAGGAATCAACAAGGATTGTCAGGGAGGCAGCATGGCAGAAAAGAATCAGCCTTTAGAGCCACTCACAGCTCCGGGTTAACTCCCTGAGGCTCACTTTCTCCCCTGTGAAAGGTGAGGTTCTACTGCCCACACCTCAGAGACCGGCCACGCACTAAAGCATTCGAGGAGCCCAGCCCAGGGTGAATGCTCCATAAACCGCTGAGCTCAGCATGCATGGCAGAGCTGGCTAAGGCCTGCTGTCCACCTGCCGGCTACATGCGTCCCCCAGGACAGTGGAGGGATGCTCAGCGTGAGCCTCGGGAGAAAGGCTTGGCCCTCCGGACGGACAAGAGACTCACAGCGGCGACTTCACTGTACCTGCGGCCTCTTGTGGTAGGCTTTGGCCTGTGAAGCATTTCTGTGCTGGGCTCTTACCTCCCAGAGCGGCTAAGCTGGCAGCAACACAGCAAAGCCAGGCCCCCTCTTCCCAGAGAAAAGCTATGAGAAAAGTTTCGAGAACTCTGAGCAAAAGCAGCTGGTTCTGTGAGGGGAATGAGACAAATCTTTGTCTTCCTACTGTAGTACGAAGTGCAATGAATATATCCCTCAGAGACGGAGTGACACCCAGCTTCCTGGATTCTACAGTGAAGGAGAAAGACCCTCTGGGACTCGGAGCTTGTTCTGAAGCATGACAAATACGTGGGGCCTGAGAGCGGTGTGGAAATGCCCGATGAGAACGGACAGTCAGACAGGCATTCCCTTCCCAGTCACTTGCAAATCCTAGGAGTGCGTTTATTGTACTGTGGCTTTTTCTGAATTCAAGCGATTCCCATTTGCAGGCAGACAGAGGGCTTATTCAGAAACTAGCCAGAGAGAACACTAAAGCTGCCAGGAGTTTTGGTGCCAACTTTTGGGTCTTGCTACCACAGGTGGCACGTGATTAAGTAGAAGCTTGGACACTTCTTGGCTGCTGGTGCTTAGCATATAATAGCTCCATTCACTGAGCCTACGTCGTGCCAGCAGCTTGCCATGCATTAGCTCACTCCCTCTTTTATGTGCCCTTCTGGCTGGGAGGGAACTGGGGAGGGCCACTCAGGCTAGGGGGTCACTGCCTAGCCTTGTGGGGGGAGAGAGCTGTGGGCAGGAAACCACCCCTTATTCTGAATACTCCAAAGCCCACAGCAACTATACCACCTCCCCGCCTAACTTTCGGTGGTCTGGTCCTCAGCCCCTCCTCTACAGATGATACCCCTGCTCAGAGACAGTGCTCTTAGAAAAGGCATAAACAGTATTAGGAGAAAAAGTAGGTGGCCTGGTTTTTTTTCTTTCTGGCATGGGTCAGGCGGGTTTCTAGCATGTGCCTCATTCACTTTGTTCTCTCTCCTCACCCTTATACTCCATAATGAAAAGTCTTTCATCTCTGGGCTTCATAAACGAGGAGAAGTGATTAGAACAATTACCTTTCAGCTCATTCCAGGCATCCCACTTGGCCTTGCCTTTGAAGTCCAACATCCCAGGCCGTTCTTAAACAAGGGAAGGAAAGACATTAGATCTGTTTCAAGTTTTAATGGAGAACTTATCAACTTTCTGGCTATAAAAGTCATCTTTTATTACACCTATTCCCTCTTGGCTCTATCATGGAATTAAATAGGTCTAGTACAATGAGTTCTGTCTTAAGAAACTCAGGTGTATAGAAATCTAGAGAAAATAGGAGGAAAAACCCCGTTTTCATATCAAGACCATTTTTGTCTTACAAGTTAAATAACTCCAAAATCTCTCCTTCTAAAAATTGTACTTAAATTTTTTTTTAATAAAACATCCATTCACATGGGTCAAAATTTAAAAGCTACAAAGGGAATACTATAAAGTTTCTCTCCCACTCTCAGCTACCCAAACTCTCTCCGTAATCATTAACTGTATGTTCATATCCTTGCCTGATTTGGCTACCAAATTGATAGTCTATTTCTTGTTGATTTGCAGGAGCCTATACTGAGGGCAAAGTTCTTTAAATTATTCCATGACTTTATGCCTACATAACTGTTATCATCTGCAGTTGGGAAACACACACTACCTCCCTCCTTCTCTGTTTCACTGCCACACTGACCACAGAGCCAAAAGGAGCAATCAGAGTCTACAGCCTGGGGCACTGTGTTGGAGAAAACCTGTGGTGTCCCCGAGTACTTTTAGGGAAGCATTCTCAAGGGCACCTGCAGTTACCAGACTCCTGGAGCAGCACTCTTCCCAGCCTTTTCTGAGATGATGGAAAGGTACATTTGCAACATCTAATTCAGAAGCCACTTGTCACATGTACCTACTGAGCACCTGAAATGTGGCTCATGCAACTAAAGACTAAACTTGACTTTACTTAACTTTATTTTTCAGTTAAAATTTAAATAGCCACATGTGGCTAGTGGCTATTATATTGAACAGCACACCCCTAGAGAGAGCCTGTCCTACCTCCCTGATCAGAAAGTGACAGATTCCCAAGCCAGTCTTCCTACACTCATGTGAAAACAGGTAGTTCCAGCGTGGGCAGAGGCCAGTCTCTGTGAAAATACCATTTGGCAGAAAAGCATCTCAGTACCTCTGGCCACCCCCACTTCACCTTTCCCTCTCCTCCCTGGGAGGATAGAGTTTATAAACTCACTGTAAAACTCAACTTCACCACAAGACCTTCCTCAACTAGGTCCTCAGTGTGAATCCCGGGGTTTGATTTGGATTGTCAGGATCCTTAGCTCTGGGCACCACTTCCTGCCTTCAGCTGGCCAGCAGCCAGTCCACGTGCTCCAACCTCCACCCTCCACCCCAGCTACCATGGAATTGGGAGCCATTCTTGGCCTCCTTCTGAAAGGGGTATGAGAGACCTCCTTCAGTGCTGTCATGAATCCTTGCACAGAATGTACTGTGCTGTATACACTCAGTATACACCTGAGTTTCAGGGACTTAGGGGCAAAATGAAAACTTCCCAAGGCAGGAAAGACATTATTATAGAACATGGTAGTCCAAAGCACAGCCTTAAAATCTGTGCCAAGAATTTTGGATAGGGAATGCATGGTCATCAGGAAGGTATATATTGTTGTCAGCAAAAATACTTTTAACCTGCCCCTAGAAGCCAGGTACTGCTCTGCTTACGAAATCAGGCCTGGCCTGGCTGCCAAGTGCTCTAACTTTGATCCTGCCCATCTCGGGCAGAAGCAGTAGGGTTCAACAAATCCACTACTGAGCTGACAGCCTGGAGCAAGTCTCTTCCTAGCTGGGGCCTTTGTCTACTCTCTAGCAGAGAGGAGCTGCTGGTGATAACCAGCAAAGCCCTTCTAAAACCAGGACTTGAATTCTTCTCCCTGAGACACTGAGAATCCTGGAACATGGTTTTTGGGGAAACTGTCCCAGCTTAAACCCCAGGAACCATCACCAAGCTCCACCTGAAGAGCAGGGGCAGGGGTTTGCAAGGGAAGTTCCCACAGACTTCCAGTCAAGGCTGCTGGGCCGGCTTTGATGGGAAGGGGCCCTCCAGCCTCAGCTCAGCATACCTGTGTTTACATCGCCCACAGTCGCTTGTTTGTAGTGGCCGTAGATGAACAGCATCTCATCGTCCGCTGGCTTGGTCTTGAGGTTCTTAACCTCCTCAGCAGCTTTCTCAAATTCAGCCTAAATGGAGGGGAGAGACCAGGAATGAGGCCCTTCTGAGCGGCAGAGGGCAGGAGTCGCTGCGGCCTGGACGGAGCCGGTGGGAAGGGCGGCACTCCTGCAACGCGGCCCAGGAAAGCAGCCCCCTCAAGTGCGTCTCCCCGGCCAGCAGCACCGACAGCGCAGCCAGAAAGATTCAGAAACACAAGAAGGGGAAGCACATCTGTTCACTCATTCAACTGACACCAACGTCTCGGCGCTGTCACTGCAGCAGGCGCCGGACGCTGGAGGTGCAGGGTGACAGGGGCGCGAGCCCTCGCCCGCAGGATGCGTGCACTCCGCGGAACGGCAGCGCGCCGACTGCTGGCCCCCGCCTGGCCAGACCAGGGCACGGCCGGGCTTCCAGGGAAGCGCTAACCGTGGACAACACAGCGGAGAAGGGGACTGGGCACCCGTGCGGCGCCGTCAGCGGCCAAAGCCCGCCGCCCCTTCCCCTGGGGGCCCCGCGCTGACGCCGACCTGTGTCCGCGTGCCCCGATTGGGGACAGGCGGGCGGGAGGAACCCCGCGCCCCGTAGCTCCGTACCGGACAGGGGTCTACGGTGGAGGGAAGGAAAGGCCTCGGGGTCACCTCTCCGCTCCCCGCAGCCGGGCATTCGGCCCCCCACAACCTCCGAGCTCGCAGCCACGGCCGGCCTGACCTCCACTCGCCGCGCCGCCTCCAGTCCCGCGTCCCTGCGGGCGGGGCTCAGCCTCCCGGCCCGCAATCCGTGCGCCCCTCCCCCGCCCGCGCGCCCGGTGGGCAACTTCCCCGCACTCGCGGGGGCAGCAGTTTTAAAGCAGGCATCCGCAAACGGAAAGTTCCGCTCACAGGCTCTGTGCGGAGACCGGGGCTGGCTGGGGCCCAGCGGCGGCTGCGGGGCGCTACCGGAAAGGGCGCGGGAGGTTTCGCACCTGCCTCCCGCCCGCTGCACCTCCGCAGCCCGGCCCGGCACGCGCCGTACCTGGGACATCCTGGCAGGGCGGCACGGACCCCGGGCTCGAAGACGCAGCGAGGAGCAGGAAGCGGCAGCGAAGGACTCCACTGGCGAGCGCCTTTAGAGGCGCAGCCCGGGCGCCCCAGCCCCGCTCGGGCGAGCGCCGGGCAGCCAATCGGGAGCCAGCTTTGCGCTGGGGGCGTGCCCAGCCGCGGCCGCGCGCCAGCTCCTCCGGGGCCCATGTGGGCCTGTTCGCGCACGCGCCGGGAGGAGCCGAGGGGGACGCCGGGAGCAGGTGGGGACCGCGGAAGGAAGGCGCTGTTGGCAGCGAGGGCGCGTTGGTCCGCGGCTGGGTTCGGTCCCCGGCCACTGTGGGAGGCGGCTTGCGGGGCAAGAGGTGGGGGCGGAGGCTGAAGAGCAGAGGTCCTTCAGTTTGTTTCCTTAAATTTCTTGCTCGGCCTGAAGTTGCATCTCTGGGCAAGTGACCTCTGAGACCTGGGGATACCGAGCGGGACCCGCTGCTCGCGAGGGGTCTAGAGGAGATGCTCCGGGGACGGTCCTGCTGAGCTGCGCCGTGCGCTAGGCTGGGCTGGTGCCCAGAAAGACGAAGCCGAGGTTTCCTCCTCTGAACTTTTGGCATGTTCTTTGAGCTGCCTGTGGCCTTAGTTTTTGGTCCTCTATTGCACATTTATGTTTGTGGTGTAGTTCTCCATCTGGTGCGTTAAAGGCAGGGATAGTGTCTTATTTATCTTCACTTAACAGACTGGTTTGGGAACAGGTGCTCAGCAAACGTTTTTTAAAATGAATACTGAATTCTTGTCGGGTAACTTGCACTGCTCTACCCCTTGGGGATACAGCAGTGAACAAAAACAGGAATCCCTGCAATCCCAGGGATAATAGTTAATACAATAAGTTAAATAGAGAGTTTTTTAGGGGCATAGAAAGTTGGAAGTTTACAGCTTTAAATGAGGAGTGGGGGTGTTGAGGGAAGAAAACATTTGAGAAAGTCCCTCAAGAAGGTGGAGGGAGGATTCCAAGCGGAGAACAAGTGTAAAGGTGTGATCAGGAAATGAGGGAAAAAGTAAAAGAGATGAGGCTGGAGAGTTAGGGAGCTGGCAGGTTGGCAGGTGATGCAGAGCTTGGCCATCTTAGGGACTTTGACTTTCATTCTGAGTGAGATGGGAAGTCATCAGAGTTTTGAACAGAGGATGGTGAGCCTGAAGGGGGAAGGTCTTTACAAGGTTGTTTCTGAGACTGATCTCCATGGAAATAGAAGGGAGCAGCACAGGTGATGGAAGAGTTTGAGGTTTGAGGCTTAGGAGGCTAAAGGAATAATAATCTGGTAGTGGTTACAGAAGCGCTGGGTGAAGGGAGGCAGTGATAGAAAATTCTCCGGAGATCATTGAAAAAGAGAGATCATTCGTCTCCAATTCCTAATTTGTGGCAAGAGGTCGGACTACAAATCTCCACTCTCCTTTTTCCCATATCCCCATTTATAGCTGTAGATGTTTAGAAAGAAAGGCCAGGAGGAAAATTTCAGACAGCTTTCTAACTTAGGCCCTGTGAAATGTTTGGAAAGAAGTGGAGAGAGATGCAATATCAGAGTATTTTGTTTGAGAAAGGAAAGCCAAACAAATCGACAAAAATCCTGAGGTTAAGTTTGGAGAAATTACACTGAAGAGTAAGAAATGCAGGTTTCTTCCTAAATGACAATTCAGAGCTGCTTTTTCCTTTTGAGTCCTGGATTCCTTTTTGTTCCACTTGGTGCTTACAGCTTCCTTGAGTTTCCTATGGAAACTCAGATAATTATCTGTGTGTCAGATTTGTAGTATAGAGTATCTCCTAGTCAGAGGTTTTAACATTAGTGTGTTGTGTTTACTAGGGCAGATTTAAGAAGATTAGGCATCTCTGATAATGTAATTATCATTTCTCAAAGATCAGTTGGTGTGATTGAGGGTTTTTTTTTGACTGGAGCTAAACATTGTAGGAATCAAGGCTAGTGTTTGACATTAACTTGCCAGTCTCCAGTTGAAGTAGAGTTGATTTATTGGTTACTTGTTTGGAATACATTCCCTTTTCCTGAAAAAAAAAATGTTCTCCACATAGTGGTTTTGTACCCAGGTGAGTCTATAAAAGCTACTTAATACAACTGAAGTACAGAACTATTAAGGATAGTGGATCCCAGGGAGTAGTGTGCTAAGTAGTCTTGACAAGGAGGAGAAAGAAGAATGTTTTCCTTGTTACAGAACCCACCCTAGGCGATAATTTCAAGATAGGTGAAAGCATGTTCTTGGGCATACTTTCTGCTTCCTTCCTTCACTTCTCAGTGACTGTTTTGGTACCTCCCTCCTTGGAAATGCTATCTAAAAGCCCTCCACTTAATTCTTCTACTCTAGGGAGTTGGTATGGCATTCAACTTTTAACATAAAGAAATGGTAGTGCGCTGGCATCTGGAATTTCATTTGTAAAATAAATTTTAGAGTATATTTAGGATCGATAAATTGTGTTTTTTAAATTCTGTATTTCTACAGTACTGGAAAGGGTAGTTCTTCATAATCCTGAGAAAGTGCAAGATCCTTAGCTCTGCGTATGTCATTCTTCGCAACTGTCATATGCTATATGTTATTTACAGTTATTTTTGTTTTAATTTACTCTTCTACTGTCTGAGCCCCCTCTCCTACATGAGTCAGAGAGGATAGGGGGTCACTGTATATTGGTCACTGCTGTATCTCCAAGTGCCTGGCACTTCTTAGTCATTCAAGAAAAGGTTGTTGAATGAATAAAGTTCTTTTCTGTCTATGAAGATTTGTTTCTTCTGATTAGCTATGAGATTGGAAACCAAAGATTTATTCGAACTGAATGTGAAACTATGGGCTTGAGTAAAGTAGATGAACTCTGGTACAAGGACCATGTAATCTCTTTGTACTGAGTTTTGGAAGCAGAGCACCTACAGTGTTAAGGGAAGATGTGATGCCTGACCAACCAACTTGTCAGCTCAGTCTACCCTGTCAGCCAAAAGAAAGGCTACTGCACTGTTGCAGTTGCCCTTGCATCCACGGATACCATTTTTGACTGTCCACAGGCTTTGCTTGCTGGGTTTCAGCTTAAAGCTGGACGGGCAAGATGTATTAACAGGTGAAAACAGTTCTTGCGCAGTAGTTTATCATTATGTTTCTTGGTATAAATTAAACCTCTAATTTCTAAAAGTAACCTAATCGTTTAAAAATGAACTACAGTTACAGGAGAGCTTTACTAGAAGGCAAGGGAGAGCATTCACAAATGACGGATTATATTCATCCTGTATTTGCTTTCCAGTGCCTTGGAATGTGACTCCCATGGCAGGGCTCCAGCAAAGCTGGGCGGAGACTAGTTTTAAAAGGAAGGAATGAGAGGTGGGTCAGTGAGTGAGGAAAAAAAAAAAGAAAAGAAAAGGGAAGGAGCTTGGGAAATACTTCTGAGATGGGTGGAGTCAGAGTCGGGAGTTTTATGAAGGCTGAGGGAGTTGAGAGCTGAGTTCAGGAGTTCAAGGCCAGCCTGAGCAAGATCGAGACCCCGTCTCTACTAAAAATAGAAATTAGCTGGACAACTAAAAATATATATATATATATATATATATATATAAAATTAGCTGGGCATGGTGGTGCATGCCTGTAGTCCCAGCTACTTGGGAGGCTGAAGCAGGAGGATCACTTGAGCCCAGGAGTTTGAGGTTGCTGTGAGCTACGCTGATGCCAAGTCACTCTAGCCAGGGCAACAGAGTGAGACTCTGTCAAAAAAAAAAAAAAAAAAAAGAATGCAGTATGGCTTTCCTCATCACAGTAGTGAGAGGAGGCCTGGAGCTGGAGGTCTTAGCAAGCCCTTCTTTGCCATCCTTACCCTGTTCTTTGGGTGTTTACATTCAGAGGAATTGCAGCAAGGCGGGCATGAGAGAAGAGTGAATGTGTGTGTGTGACGTGCACATGTGTACCATTTTTTCCTTTCTCCATCTTCCTGTTTCTATCTAGCCAACATGGGACAGGATAGTTAGGGCTGAGGTGAAACAGACAGATTGGGAGGGGGAGATTCTAGTAGGGATATGTCCTAGGCTGTTTGGGAGTGAAGAAGGGAAAAAGACTTTATTTAGAATTGCTTGTCTGTAGGTTGGTCATACATTGGTCAGGTGCTGCTATTTAGAAGCATTTATGATTATGGGCTGGAATAATGTAGGTATCTTGAATTCACTGTAGTTCTCATTGCTTCATGAGAAGTATTAATATATATTCTCTTCTCAGTCTACAGTGTCTTCTACATCTTTGCCTGTTTCCCTAGCTCCTAGTTACACATGACAGGCACGTGGTAAATGCTTTGAAATTAGGTTGTTAGAGATGGATTTTCTTAGTAAGCTCTTCTATTGCCTATCAACAAAAAAATTAGAAATATTAAAATCTTGTGACAGATGCTTAGGCTGATAATTCCTTTGGAAGACAATGCCATTTTTGAAAACTTTATTTTTATTTTGAGATAATGCTATTAAAAAACCCCCTAATTTTTATTTTGAGATAATTGTAGCTTCACATGCAACTGTAAGAAATACAGTAGTCCCTGCTTATCCTTGAGAGGACTCCAAGACACCCACTGGACACCTGAAACCGTGGATAACATGGAACCCTATGTGTACTATTTTTTCCTATACTGTCCTCTCGGTGTATGTGACTTTTTGTTGAGGCTTTTTTATGCTGCACCAGTTGCTGTTTCCAAGTTGCTGATTCTTCAGCTCCAGGTCTGAGATGTATAGAAACTCCAGGACTCACTACCATGTCATGCTGATACGGAAAATGGCAGGCACCAGGACGAGGCTGCTTGCTGCCTCCCCGTAGCTCCGCATCTCCACAGGCCAGCACTGTGCGTGGCCAGTTGGAGGGTGCGCTGCTGGTGCCCACCCGCCCTGAAGCAGAGAGCCACCTGGGGCCCCTGCGTGCTGGAATGCCCCCCGCCCCCCCCCCACGCATGTGGCCTATTTCCGGCCACGCTGCTTGTGTGATCCTGATTGGGTAATTTTTGAATCCCACTGTTCTTGATTGGATGTGAAAGCTTGTTGTTGATTGGATGTGAAGGCTTGTTGTTGATTGGATGTTAAAGCTTGTTGTTGAT